AAAATAATACTATAAACTAACTAATAAAGCTATTATTTCTAAAATTAGTACTACAATTAAATGACTATTAATACATCATTCTAGAAGATCCTAGGGCATCCTGAAGTACCTCATGTGCTTGTATTACTTGTGTAGCCTTATTCTATACACAGTTATATTAAATGAACTAATAATCTAAATATTAAAGCAAATATTGCTTTAAATAGAATTTTATAAAAAGTATACTAATAAAATATATAATAAACTATTGTATAAACATCTAAAATAGATAAAATATACTATAAACTATATAAATAAGCTAATAAAATGATAAAATATATAATAAACATATAGAATATATAATAAAATTTAAGGAAAAGTATAAGAAAAATATTAATTAATATTACAATATAATTCACACAAATCCTGTTTTAACTTTTAGCTAAATTTACACATGTCAATATACATTTATATTATTTCTATTAAAGGTTTTTTTTGTCTCAAAACTTAATACTATAGATAAATTACTGTACTATACTTTTGATAAATTTTTAGTACTTTGTTTACTAATAATATGCTTATATAAAAAATGATTTAATTTCTTTTTTAAAATATCTATTATAATACAAATAAATTATACACTATTTGAAATCTTTACTATAAAATCATAACATTTAAAAATTAAAAATTTGTAGCAAAAAAACTAGAAATTTTTATTATTACAATTAAATAACCAACTACAAAATTTAGTATAATAATAGATTTAATGCTAAAGAGTTGAAAATCAACAAGAAATTTTTGAAATTTTTATTTTTAAAATATGAATTTTTAAAAAAATTATAAATTTAAAGGAAATCTACAGATTTCTGTATAATAAATAATTGATGGCTAATTACAGTAAATTGAAAAGTACTGTAAGTTAATCATCTTTAAGTTTCTAAATAAAATCTAATTTAAATCAAAATTGTCCAATATATTACAAAATATTTTTAAAAAACTTTTTGTAAACTACAGTATATAAAATTTTATACTATTGTTTATATAAAATTTTATATAATCAGTAAAAAGTTTTCAAAGATATTTTGTAATATACTAAACTGATTTTGATGATTTAACCACCATTAAATTTATTTTAATAAGCTATACAACTTTACTTAGAAACTTAAAGGTAGTTAACTTAATACAAAAAAAAACTTTTAGATGTAGAATAATTATAACTAACAAATTAACAATTAATCATTATTACAAATTATTATAAAATCAGATTAAAATGAAATAAAGGGTTTCTATTGACCTTTAAAACCTACTTCTAAACCTAATCCTAACTCTAAGAAAATACTAAAAAAATACACTCCAAGAATTTGTATTTTTCAGTGACTTGTCTATTTTACACTATCTTTCATTTTAATCTGATTTCATTTTAATTTGCCACAATCATTGATTGTCTGAAGATCATATGATATTAATCATATAGTCACATTTTTATACAATCACCACATTAGTGTGCGACAACTTGGTGGTCTGACTGTAGAATTGTTTATCAATGATGTGTTACAATCCATCCGCAGAATTGCAAAGTTTTTATTACAACAATATATACGGGCGAATTATTTAAAGAAATCTAAAAATTGCTCACTCAAAAACAATTTTTACGCTCGCGGATAAAATCCAACAAGTTGAGGATTGTTTCTATCTTTACGAAATTCTGACATCATAATACGTACTATTCGATCAAAATGTTATCTAATATAACTACTGTGGAGCACTGGCGCAGAATGACTTACATTACCAATTGTTGCCGCAGTATAATTGGTTGGTTGTTGAGAGAATCCAATGATACACAAGAAAATTTTATAAATCGAATGATACGGACTTTTTATATCATTTAAAATTTAGATTTTTAACTTTAACCCGAAATAATGGTATAACGATAATGATAACATTTCTTAAGGGTCAAGTTAAGCAAGTCACTCTACTGCTACGCACGTACGTACGCACGTACGGCATCGCAACAATAAAATTGATTTTAATTTTAGCCAATCAGAAACCTTTCTTATTAACCAATAAAATCAAATTCCATTATTCTATGTTTTTTTTAAAGTGCTGAAGTGACTCAAGGCGCAGCAATTTATTTACGCAGTTATTATAAATATGTATATATCGATATAGTGTAGTACATATATGATTATATAAGTCAAATCAGCTGAGAATATAAAAGGCCCTAACCCTCACACATCACAAAACATTAAAATTTTCGATCAACTATAACCATAATGTTCGGTAGCTCAAATCAAAGCACTTTTGGACAGAGTGCAGGAACAAGTGGCTTTGGACAGCCAAATCAAACATCGTTATTTGGAACTAACACACAGACACCTGCTTTTGGTAAGACTTGTCTTTCTCGAGAAAGAAATAACCGTATTTAGATCGCAACTAATTTTCTATTGATTTTTCTTTTTTGTTTCATTTACTCATTACTCAAATTTAGGCGGCTTTGGAGCAGGGACGTCAACTTCTACGGGCACGGGCGGTTTTGGAGGCTTTGGCGTTCAAAATCAGACAACGCCAACTTTTGGGTTTGGGGCTCGTATGTAACTTTTCGTACTCTTGATTTGATTCCCTTGATCGTCTGAACTTTCTAAATTTGCGTTCAATACTCTTAATTTTTCTAGCTGCATCAAATCCAAGTGGTGGTTTGTTTGGAACGCCAACAGTAACCCCTTTCGGTGGTACGGGTAAGTTTTAAATATTTAAGATCTCTAAAATATCCTTAAATTTGATGGTTTAGTCATTATTTTGTCAGGAAATATGTTTAATATTAAAAAGTTATAAAGAAATTGCATTTATAAATTTTATATTCTGATAAAAATCCGGCCATGATGATAAAATCCCAATTTTTATTTTGTATGATTAAACACGGCTTTTTTGATATGGTAAATTCAAATCGACGGGAAATACACAGCCATCAAATATGTATATTTATAATTGCTTATTGATGCAATATTTATTTAACTACAGGGACATCCACTGCGACACCAAGTCCACCTCCTAACGGTACAGCGAATCCATCTTATACGACAACAAGCGAAAAAGATCCAGCTGGAACTTTGAATATTTTCCATAGTATTAGTGCAATGCCTGCGTACAGAAATTTCTCTTTTGAGGTATGAATGTATACAAGAAAATTACAAAATTTCTAATTTATCTGACATAGAAAAGTTTACTAATCAATTAATGATCATTAGGAACTTCGACTACAAGATTACCAATTAAATCGAAAACCACTTGCTACTGGATCTAATTTTGGTGGGATTGGTAGTGTAACACCATCCTTTGGAGCTACAAGCACTCCAAGTGCGTTTGGTGCTGCACCTAGTGGGTTTGGTAATGCTTTTGGTGTTAAATCAACACAACCTACTCAGCCATTTGCATTTGGTGGTGGTGCTACAGCTACTCCCGCTGCTGGAGGAGGTTTTGGCGCTCAAGTCGGTTCATCACAATTATTTGGCGCATCAAAACCTTTCGGTGCACCAACAGGAGGGGGATTTGGTACCGCCACGCCAGGTGCTGGAGGTGGGTTTGGAAGCGCAATAGGTGGAATAGGTAATTATACATTTCATTGTATTCTTCTTTTCATTTATACGTTGATATTATCTTCACTATGAAATATGAAATTTTGCATTTCACTGATAACGTCAGGATCATGCCCCAAGGCTTCTGAAAAATTAATCACGGGGCTAAGTTTATCAATATCA